TATATGTATATATATATAATATTCTATTTGGAATTATATGCTATTTTAATCAGAAAAAAATCCTATGACTAAAGCTTTTGATCCTCTGTCATTTTACGTTGAGATTCGTGCTAATTTTTTTTTTAAAATATAAATATCTATCATTGATAGGGACTAACGACCACTAATCTCAATATGAAATTAATTAAAATAATACTTTTATATAACTTTATATGAATTTCTTATAATATTTGTGCCCCACTATTTTGTGCATGTGTCCACTCTAACCACATGAAATTATTCCCCTATAAATAAACTCGTTGAGTACATTAACACTCACCTAGTTAAATTTTTAGGAAATTTACATACAGACCACACAATTTGCATGTATTTGCATACTTAACACATGGAGAGTTTGATATTTACATTTATAAGGTATTACAATCTCAAAGTTCTTAATAATGGTATTTTTATGTGATGTTAAAAAGTAGAGTGTTATATATGTAAATATCAAAGTTTAGGTGTTAGATATGTAAATACATAAAAAGTGCATGGTATATATATATAAATTCCCCCTATTTGCCATTTGTCCGTCCATTCACTTATGCATCAAGATTCGCGATTTTTGGATCGTCCATCATGCATGAGGCTTTCCGTGGACGGGATGCGTGAAAGTGGGAGGAAATTATGCGGGCAGAAATGGGGCCGCATGATAAATTGTACGACCTATCGCACAACTACTAGTGCTCTTTTACTTCAAAGAGGGACTACTTTTATTCTTTAAGAGGTCATGCCATTTTTGCATGTTTAGTTATGGTGAAGCTCAGCTTCATCTTGTGAACCCCATATCTACTTTGCTTTGATTAGGCTAAAACTTGTGATGATGATGATGATGATGATTAATTCATATTTATATAAAAATTCATAATTAATTAGAAATAATAAAATCTTAATAAAAAAATGCATAGATTAAGAAATGTTAAAAGATCATAAAAAGATCACACGACTTGTCATGTATCGTATTGAAAGAAATTATTTATCTAATTTTCACTTTTATGACTTTTTCTACTTGATTGAATTATTAAGCTGTGATTTAACATATATTATTGTTGCGTGATAAAATTGCTCTTTTGAACTAGAAGTGAAGTGATGTTTCAATTGCTTCATTTTAGAAATACTTAAGCATACATATGACCGATTAAAATGTGACAATTAATTTTATTTAGAAAAAAAAATAAGGAAAATAAGATGAACTTTTAACTAATATCAAAATCTTGCCAATTCATAAAGTTAACCATATAACCCATTTTTTATTATCAAATTAATACAACTATCAACTTTCATTCTCAACATTCTGTTAAATTCCAAATTATTTAGCAGCACTATGGGCAAACGGTATGATTTATGAGTTCGAATGTTTTTGCTTTGTTATTGGATATGTAAATTTATTGATTTTAGTGATATGAATATAAATATATAAAAAATAAGTTGAAGGGCCCAACTTAGATAATGAGTTACTATGTGTATTATGTTTTTGAGACATTACTTTGACATGAGCTATAGAAATACATTAGTATAATATTTTACAAGAATGTAAACCCTTGACCAAACCTCCATGTCCAAGTTATGATAGGTGGCTTCAAGAATGCTCTTGAAATTAAAGGACTTTGTTACTATAGTGGAATAGCCTAAGTTAATAAGGGTTTTTGTGAGGGAGTATATTTTGACATCTATAAAAAATGTTAAATTGACATGAACAAAACATGCCAAATTAATATCCATAAGCAAAACTAATTTGGTGTAAATGAGGTCTTTAAATAAAATTTTTATTAGCCTTTTCAACAACTATGATCAAATAAATGATTCAATCAAACACTAAAGGTTAGATAGGCAACAATTATTTTACAATGGAGGCCTGATAATATTAAGTAATGATGTTAGATTTAAGTAATGATGTTAGATTTATGTGTAGCAGAGGGTCTAACACTAGTGGCTAGACATGTAAGTAGGGGTGTAAACGAACCGAACACGAACGAACAAAGCTTGTGTTTGTGTTCGGGTCGCTTAAAATTTAGTTTGTTTGAAATAAAACGCGCTTAAGCACTAATATTATTTTATATTTCAAACAATAACGATTCGAACACGAACGAACACATCACTGTTCGTGTTTGGTTCGTTTAACTAACCGAACGAAAAAAATTTGTTCGCGTTTGTCTCGTTTACTTATCGAACGAATCGAACACGAACTCATTGACGAACTGAACACGAACTGTTCGCGAACAACGAGCTTTTTTGACGGCCCTGCATGTAAGGGAAGGTATATAGCGATACAGGTTTGTTGGACTGAAGTTATCGATCAATTATGATTTGATAGTTTAATAAATCCAAGCATAAAAAAATTGAAAAAAATAAGAGTTTTATAGGGATAGAGTGTAGATGAATAATGATCAATGTGGACACATAGAATACATATATAAGTTAATAAGGATGGTATAGACATGGGATTGTTCACAAGAAAAAAATTATATGAGAAAAAAAAACAAATTATGTGATGCACATCACATATGCATTGGCCAATATAATAATGAAAGTTTAATACAAAAATACCAGCCTTAAAATAGATGCTTGATCAGCAATATTTGATCATGCAGTGAGCCCTAACATGATGGAGGTAGTTTGTAATAGATACTCGACGAACATGAGCTAGTAAAGTATTTTGATTGAGCTACTTAGAGGCATTGAAGACTCAATGAAATGGGTGCACCAAACAAAAATAAACAAGAAGGAAAAAAAAAACTAGTACTCAATCATCAAATGGGTGAAGAAAGTTTGATAATAAAGGATAGATGTGCACTATCTACTTGAAAGATATATGCTCAATCTTCAAGTATGAGTAAAAAATATTTACATAAAAGACAATCATGATTCAATAAAATATAAAAATATAAAATATAAGAGCATATAATACTTTAAATGTCATAAATGCTAAAAAGATACAATGAAATGCTAAAAAGATACAAGTTGGTGATTCATTATAGGCTAAATATCCAGCCAAAGGTCACACAAGAAAGTTAATGTTTACATTTATAATATGATATTTTGATAAATGTTTAGATCTTAGTGTTAATGAAGCCAGTTGAAAGACAGGAAAAGGAAGTAAACTAAGTACTAGAGAAAGCGACCAAAATAAAATCAACCATTAAGACATCAAAGGTTGAATAAAAGTCATCAATGAAATTGGTTGGGAGGACATGAAAGACGAGATTTGTTTGGTAATGAATTCAACAAGGAAATGGGAAGAATCAAATAGAACAAGAGTCTACTCTGACACTATCAATGGTTTGGTAAAACTCCATCAAAAAATGAAAACTAACAATATTATATGAGACTAATAAAGACATTACTAGAAAGAAATTGAACCAATCGGTAGTAGCTAACCATGTATTGATTTGCAAAGAAATAAATGTTTTTGGTAATCAAAATCTTAATAATTACATAAGCTATAGTTTTAATAAAAAAATATTTAAATTTAATTACCATGATATTGATTTGTATGCAAGTTTAAGGTTAACTTAAGAATATATGATTATGGATGATATTTATTCAGATTGAATGATAATAATAATGCATATTTATAAATCAATCTTCATGAGTATGTATATGCATTTGTGGAAAGATTTCTCATTAAACCAAAGCCAGTGCCCAAGAAATAATTTAACTAGGGATGGAAGCAAGCATAATTAGTCAGCTTTGGAGTTGGCTCAAACATGACTCATTGACGAACTTGCAAGTCAAGTTTTTAACCCATGAGCTAAAAAAAGAGCTTATATTATAATTGATTATGAGCTCAACTCAATATGGATTGCTTTTCTGCAAGCAAGCTTGATTCAATTTGGATCCCTAATTCATGTTTCTTCTCCTTCAATATATTTCTGACATTAAGTTAACTATATAATATTGAGTATTTAATGTTATAGAATTATTAATTTATGTACTCAATAGACTTCTTTTTCAAATATTGTTTACTGATACACCTAAAATATATATTATTTTTAGACACATTTTTATACCTATTTTTAGATA